TATTGTTGATGAACGCTTAGAGACGCAAGAGCAGACTGGAAATTTCTCATAAACTGAGAATAGATTAGATTGAAATCGATTAAACTCTACAAGATGAATTTACTGGAACATTAATCGAATCCAGTAAATTGTACATAGCAGTCTGCAATAAAAACAATTGTTTAATGAATATACTGGTACACTAAACAGCATCTGTCGCGACGGAGCGCGAAAGAGAAGCGCGAGAGAGACGATTCGTAAGGGACACCAAAGTGATATGTGAAAACAACCTTAAATCTGTACTTAGCAGTATATGCATAAGATGTACACAAATATCATGCGCTGTCGATTCGGATGATGAAACTTGACTTTCGTATATCTCATTTGGAGGATCTCCTCCCTTTTCTGTTCGTATTATATGAATGCTTTGTGTTTCGATATAAAATACAGTGTTAATACACAATAAACGCCGAAAGCATCAAACATTTGATTACGAGTTTTTTCATCATGTTTAGCCGATGTAAATTATGCAAGCCTAAAAACAATGCTGCTTCTCAAATTTCCACCATCGGAATGCTTCTCACAGATTCTTTGCTAGTAGTTTTTTGAGCTTAGGCTTCAATTTTCCGTACTAACGACTTTGAAATATCCGAAATGATCTCACCCTGAATCAGAAGTGGTATCTGATGATTTTTTTTATCCTCTACATATGTTCCAAGTGCGTGCCAAGGATCTAGCGAACCATTGGGAAGGATGACGTTGGTTGCCTGAAAATGTTTTTGATCATTCGTTAAATGATGATGTTGAGGCGTTGGTGACTGGCCACCATAAGGTTGGGTAACAGCATCATAGCAATAGATAACCAACCTTGTAGTTCTGAGCACCTCCGTAATATTTTTGTGCGGCTGCATTCCGTTTCGTTATCGTTTTCACATTAACAGTCGGCCCGAACATATCAGTGCACATATCGATATAGTAGCTGAAAAGAAATCACGACTGTACACTGAACCAAATGAATGAAACATTTTCAGAGCATTGTTCTATATTAAATCAAATTTTCCATTGATCGCTTTAACGGATTGACTGAACTGATTTAAAAAAGATTGACAGGTTTAATCCATGATGACTAGGTGTTATTGCTTTGAGCAAGAGTCAGGGGAAGTTTAACAGTATTTGTAATTCGTAACATTGACAGCTTTGACTGTTTTTAGATCAAATGGCCTAAGTTTGGATTTTCGAAAGTGAGAATGACGAAATGATAAATTCGCATAAACATAAGATGAAGGATTCAGAGCTCACTTCAATGGAACCATTTCACCGAATACATTCCTGCCTTCGTCAGTTGTTTGCAGAAATCCAATTTCATTGCAGCACAACCACATCCATCCACGATCCGCGGCTGAATTCAGGTAAATTAGATGGATAGCAAAAAAAAGTTTGCGAATAAAGAAAATTTTAGTATATCTTTAAGAAATTTAAAAAATTTTAGTAAGTCGGCTGAGATCAGGTCTGAGGGGGTGCCTCGATTGTCACTCACCATTGTCAGTACTTTTATCATATGTCACATTTGCGAGCAACTTGATCATCTCTTCGTAACTGTTTGCGAATGTGCACTTCGTTGTATCCTTCTCGCATTCACCCGTGTGAGGATAAAATTTATTCAGAAAGTTCATGACCGCTCTCATCTACAATCACAATAAGTCAGAATGCTGAATGATGTGTCAGCCACCATGATTGCTTTAGTCGTTGAAAGGTGGCAAATTTTTTTTGATAGGTTTTTAAAATGTTGTTTGGAAATATTCTAACCTGTTTGAGAGAATCATTAGCGGGCGCTTCATTCACTGCTTTGCACAGATTTCTCACATTCAAACCACCGATCGTGTAATTGTTCTACAAATTGAAAATTTTTTCACAAGGTTTTTCCATCGTTGTGACGCACTCAAAAGATGTGGTGTAGTCTTGTTGCGATGCCTACCGGAACAATGGATCATTTCGTTGAATTTGTTGACGGAGAAACTTGGAAATGCTGAATGAGAATAAGTGTAAAGAAACTTACGCGACCATCATA